AATATTGTGAAACATTTTGAAAGGTTGCACAACACAGTCTCCCTACCTTGTAAGTCAGTGCTTGCCATGTTCACGCCACCGTGGAGGTCAGCGACATCTTGGTGCCAGACGCAGCCCGTTGGCCGTCTCTCTGCCATAGGTTTCCTCATCGCCGTGCCCGGGGAGTATTGAACGTGTTGGCTCACTCGCTGCCCGTTTGGTAACGAACTGGATTCTCCCATTGATGGGGCGTCGTTGCTGGAGAGCTGACCTGTAAGGGAGATCCCCTTCTGTGACCTTTGACTTTGTGAAGGTCGCCATTCGAAGGTGGGGCCGGAGTCTCTTGCCAGAGGTGGTAACGGAATTTTTAAAATTGCATTCAGCTCTCTTTGCTGCTGTAGCTCGTTTTGCGATGCTAGCTCTCCTTTCTGTGCAATAATGGCCTCACCTTGGTGTTGTACCCCCCACTGAGATACTGAATTCCTTGTATATTCAGCCCCTCTCTGCTGGGCTAAAGTAGGCTGCCCTGTCAGAAAACTAAATTGTCTCGTTGTCTGACTTTCTCGTTGCAATAATGGCCGAACTACTGGGGTTACACTGGGTGGATCTCTACTCTGTGACGCCTGCCACTGAAATGTCTGATTTGTAGGTACAGCAGAGTCCATATTTGTACTTCTGGCTTTAAATAGTGGCATCCCAGGTGATACTTCACTTGTATTCCTGCTCTTCTGCTCTTGCTGTCGGGAATTAAGCTGATGTATGAACGTTGCACTGGGTTCTTGTTCCAGCCTTGTTTTCCCTTGAATTGACGATTTGCCTGTGGCTTGCGAGCCGGATTCTCCTGTTTGCTGAATGTTCCATGGAGACGGACTTGAATAAGATGACTGTCCACTAAGCTCTCTGCAATATTCTCTCTTCCACTGGGATTCTACGTGCGCCGCTGGGCTCATTCCAAAGGGGCCTCTTTCTTCCAGCTGTCCCACACGAGGTTGTATTTGTCCTACGGCTGTTTCACCGGAGGTTTTCTTCTGATGAAGTTCCCACGGCCTTTCGGACATTGCCCTGACCTCACTAATCATTGGAGCTTGTCCTTGAGACGGGCACAGACGTACAGACGTCAGAAAGGATTCCCTCGGCTGACCAGGTGTGCCCAACGATTTCCCGTTAGGAGAAGGTACAGCTGAGAATTGAGAGACATTTTTGGGCAATCTTGGTGGTTTTTGTTGTTGTTGCCGTAGGCATTGTTGTTGCTGCTGCTGGTGGTGCTGTTGTTGGTAGTGGTAGTTTTGTTGTTGTTGGGGTGTCTGTGGAGAAAATGATGACGGAGTCCCACTCTGTTGTTGGTCAAACGAGTACAACTTTTCGCTGATCGGACATTGATTAGCCGTTGTTGTATGGGCCCTGAAAGAATTCCGAAATGGACTCTCAGACTGCTTGGCTAAGCCTTGCGTGCTTAGACCACGGTGAAATTCTGGATTAGTGATTGCACTTGTCCCATACCTTGCCTTCTGTGCGTCTGACATACTTCTCTGTAGGGGAGGGGCCGACTGAAGTCTCGAGAGACCTGACCGATTGGATGTGTAAGACGACGATGCCACGGCCCTGACGTTGTAACCTGTCGCACTGTCCGCCGACTGGGCTCTGCTGCCATAACTTGTCGGCTGTGGGGACGCTAGGGAGTGCCGTTGTTCCTCTATCTGGCTATTTCTACTACTTTGTGGTTCAAAGACAGTCTCAGAGTATTGCCTTCTCTGATTACTAAGAGACGACTTTCGCCCCTCATACTTAGGCCTTCTGTAGAATGGTATTTTAGTAGAGCTTTGGGGTCCCAGCTTTGTTTCAGAAGGGGTGTCGCTTGGTACATCGTGAGTTTCTTGCTCTATATTTTGGTTTCTGATCAGAGATGGTTTATTAGTTGCCCCTGAATCGAATGATCGCTTCGACTTGGGTTTTTTGGATATTTGAGAAGGACGACTGGACTGAGATTTAACAGGAATAGACTTGGGCTGACTGTTTCGTTTGTGCAATATGCTGTCGTCACTAAATTCCCTTCGACGTACCTGCGTACTGAATGAGACGGAACGTTTAGATGACGCTACCGGTGTCTTTACTTTTGAATCTCTGCTCGGAGGCACATCCTCTTCCGGTTGTTGTTGTGGGGACGACGCAGGCTCTACGAGGCTCAAGTCTGTGCCCCCTGTTTCTTGAACACTAATTTCGCTTTCTTGCTTCAAATCAGAAGGGTTTTTGCTCCCACGTCTCTGAGTCTGAACACATGATGTGACCTCTGACCCCGGGCGCTGACTCTCAGTGGGAGACACTGGGTCTTGAGGCCCTCTTGAAGAAACTGACAGCAACGGTTGGCCCGTGGTGTCTTCCTGGGCGTCGGTCTTGTCAATACTCTGTTGGTTTGACGACATGGCGAGACCAGTTGTCAGCTACCCAAGATCGCCTTTTGAATATACTAATCTGAGATAATGAAATTATTTTTGTGTATTGTGTTTGTGTGTGTGTGGGGGGGGGGGGGCTTTTTCTAGTGATTACTCAAGTTCCCGAAATGGGATTTGCTTGAACAACATTATGTCTACAGAGGCGTACTGTGAGACTCACAAAAATGTAGTTTTGATTTCTCTTTGAGTCGGTTTCGAATTTATTTTCGTGCTGTTCTCTAATTTTGTATCCATCATTACAGTTTTTCCTGATCCTCCCCAAAACGTCCACCGCCACGTGTCAGTTGTTTTGGAGAGAACTGTGGAAAAATGTAGATCTGAAACAAATATCATTTATATAAAGTACTCCTTGGGAGTTTCTTTGAAAATATAATAGAACATAACATTTTATAAATAGATTTTCCCTCACAGACCAGTCTATCTATTGATCTATTTATTTATTTATCTATCTATCTACCTTTTTCTTTTTTTTTTTCAATGAATGTTTATTTATTTGCCTTGGTCGTATAAAGTGGCAATGGTGTTACAAATGTCATATTAGGCACGCATATATGCTCACAACAAACGAGAACATAACTATTACACTGTTATTACATGTTTAAACCGCTCCATTTAATAAATGCTTTGTCTCTCTCTCTCTCTCTCTCTCTCTCTCTCTCTCTCTCTCTCTCTCTCTCTCTCTCTCTCTCTCTCTCTCCCTCTCTCTATCTCTCTCCCTCTCTCTCCCTCTCACTCACACACACGCACTCACTCACACACACTGTCTATCTTTCTCTCTATCAAACTCTCACTTCTTTCTCACTCGTTATCTCTCTCCCTCTCTCTCTCTCTCTCTCTCTCTCTCTCTCTCTCTCTCTCTCTCTCTCTCTCTCTCTCTCTCTCTCTGCCTCTGCCTCTCTCTGTCTCTCAATGTATATATATATATATATATATGAATATATCATATGACCTTTAAATCTAGCCTCTTAAAAACGTATTTTTTCTGTGGTTTAAAGCATATACTTCAGTTCCATGAAATGCTACGAGCGAGCAAAGGAACAAAAGATGCGTACGATATTTGTAATCTTTCCTTCTCCTTAATCATTGTTTACACGTTCCTATTCCTCTATTCACGAGTAGTAATGGCCTGGTTCTTGTAGGGCATTCAACCGAACAAAAAACACAGCGCAGATGAGTTACTTCGGCTTCTATTTTGATGTAGGAAATAACCTAAGATAATAACGTGGATGTTCAGGTATGAAGAAAAATCTATTCTTCAAACAATATTCTTTTACTAATAAAAAGACTGGATGTTCCTTGTTCTCTCATGACAGAGAGGAGATTACCATACGACCAATCTTTCTACGGGATGAATGGAGGGAGAGGAAAATAAAGGGCGGAACACTGCATTGAAGAGTTGAAAAGGGAGACTCAAAATTGGACGTCATAAGTCTTTCTGACGAAGCATTTCCAAAGAGAAAGAAAAAGAAATAAAGTGAAAACATCAGCAAAATGCTACGCTGTTGACGAAGGAGATTCGAGTATGATGAACATAAAGGACAAATAGTAAATATTTCTTTATATAGGACTGAAATGAATAACCAACAGAGGTAAGTCAAACCCAGGTCAGTATAGAGAAGCGGAATTAATCATCTCGGAAATGAGTTTGGGAAAGGAGGGGGTTGGAAGGGAAGGGTTGGCCAGGGGGGGGGGGGGGGGGGCATTGCTGTCTGAGTTCTTAGAGCCCTCCCACGTCCGGTTCAAGGTTTTTGTGTTTGATCGTTCTTAGAACTTCCCTCATTTCAATAGTCAATGAACAGATAAAGGAAATGGTTACGTTTGTCTGCAACCGATCATTGTTCTATACCTACTCAAAGGATTTCCTTTTAGACAACTGACCAAATCTCACACCCTGACAGTGTGCTCCCAATTTTGCAGTGTTATCCGCTTTTCTAAATTCTCCTCAGTGCGTCTTGAAACTATCTACCTATCTATCTATCTATCTATCTATCTATCTATCTATCTATCTATCTATCTATCTATTTATCTATCTATCTATCTATCTATCTATCTATCTATCTATCTATCTGAAACTGTTGTTTTAATTTAAGGGTTAGAACTTGATCTATCCGTGAAAATCCCACCATGGCTGTTTAAGAGCATGACCTACCCTCGGAGAGTGTGACTGGTGCAGTGTTGTAGGATTGTAGGTTAGCACTAACAAACGTCACCACAACTGACTGTGCCCCCATTTTCAGTATATTTTTTGGCAAAAATAGTGAATCCTCTGCTCTAGAGAAGGATAGGGAGTCGCCCATCTCGCGGGAACAGAAGATAGGACAAAATAATGTTATCAAAGGTTCACTTTAAGAAAACCCTGATTTTTCTAAAATCAACTTTTTTACCTGTTCCGTGACTGAATATCTTTGTCCTTCACATATATCTGTTCGATGTGAGGAACAACAGAAAGATATGAGACGGAGAAAGATATGAGACGGAGAAAGATATGAGACGGAGAAAGATATGAGACGGAGAAAGATATGAGACGGAGAAAGATATGAGACGGAGAAAGATATGAGACGGAGAAAGATATGAGACGGAGAAAGATATGAGACGGAGAAAGATATGAGACGGAGAAAGATTCGCAAACACCCGAAAGCAACAAAAACAAATAAGTTCACTTTTACGAGGGTTTATTTGTCCTATTAAAAATCGCTGAATGTTTCTGCGGGCCGCTCAAAACTCTCTGCAGGGCTTTGTGCGTTTGGCCTACAGGCCGTGCCGTGGTTTACCATTCCCTGACTGACAATCTTCACGAAACTTCAAGTACTAATGTGGCACTGAAGAAAGTGAACTACTGATGCACTACAGAAAGGGCACGCAACCAAGTGGCAGATCACATAGACGCTCTATACTAACCAGATGGCGTTACTTACTTGATGGGCAGGGAACCAAAAATACTGGGCTATGGGTCTCATGACCCTTATTCAAATTCTTTGGGGGGGGGGGGGACTTTGGACATGGGCTGCTTGAAGAGTTTTCAAGGTTCTCCAATTGCTAGAATTGATTGTATTGAAGACGAGTTCTAAATTTAAATGTGAAAAGTTCAAATAACATTGCAGAGTTTGTTGGAACGTCAACTCAAAGCTATACCTCGCTTCTTCATCCAAGTGGGAATAGGAGCCCGGCTATAGAAAGCGAAAGATCATGTCAGGTAATTATAACTGTGTTTTAACGTGTGTAATCTACAACTTGCAATGTATATTAGCCGGGAAGCCGAGAATGTCTCTGAGTCGAATAGCTGGAACGTGGGTATGTTTAGGCATACTGTTAACAGTTATTGTATCACCACTCGCTACGCTACGATGGATACATCTATATTCTGTATTTGAGCGACTTACCACTAGCATTGAGAATAGACGCAATCGACGTAGAAAAGCCAGAAATGATTTTATCATGACTGCGACAATAGATTACTCTACGTTTTCTTACCAAAACATACCATGAGTCATCAGAGGCCGAGTGTAAGCAAAGCCATAACGCTTCTCATCAACTCTGAGGATGAGGAAGTGAGGGCAGCCATAGCCGCCATTTTCACCGAATACCAAAGTAGTTTCATTTAGTGCTGATTCCTGTTCGGGAATTTCCAATATTATTGGAGCCGAAGTAGCTTTGGCAAATTAATAATGTTTCCAGAAATTCAAGAGCATATTTTTTAGACTGCCTGTGTTGAATCATCATGTCAGAGCTAGTCTGCCCTAAAAGGTACTACATACTCTGTACTGGGAACTGTGGGCTAAGTACCATGTAGAAATATGATGAAAATACGTGAGGATTCATTTTAGTGTTTTAGAGGAAGTGCCTCACATTGAGTTGAACGTACACGAGAAAAGTATAGGCCACAAAAGTTGTGATAAAAATGTGGATCAGACAAAACATGTCGTTGTATATAAAATAATTATATGTAAGACTTTCCTCCTTTTACAAAGACCTTACGTTCTGCAGTCATCATATCCTTCAGAGAGAAAGAGCATTAGAGGAGCAAGTCTTCTCGGGTCGTATGTGTGTGTGTGTGTGTGTGTGTGTGTGTGTGTGTGTGTGTGTGAGCGTGAGAGAGAGATAGTGTGTGTGTGTGTGTGTGTGTGTGTGTGTGTGTGTGTGTGTGTATGTGTGTTAGAGTGTGCATGCGTGTGTGTGTGTGTGGGGGGGGTGACAGATTGTTCTTATCAGTAACAGCTGACCAAGGCTAACTTTAATAGACCCTTTGTCACCACAGAATTCTACACTTATAGAACGGGAACTGTACCACGTGACCTGTGAGGAATTGAAGACCGAAAATAATGGCGTCTTGAGGGCACTATTTATCGTTTTCGGAAGTAACCCTATAGCTTTTAAAGCAAGAGCTGCTTTTACAAACGAATGAAAAGTGGAACATTTACTGTCCAGTTTGTAATTTTGAGTTACAGAATTCACTGTGCAACTAGAGATTGGAATTAAGGTTTTAAATTGTTGTGTTTTTGGGTGCAACAACAGAAAAAGCAGACATAGAGAGTTTATATAAGATCTACAGAACAGTGAATTATTCGTAACACAGATGGGATTGTTCACAGCACTTAGCATTTCTAGCTTCCCACACACATTTTGCATACGCATATGGCTTACGTAATTTTTTTTGTAGCAAAATTGTTACAAGAAATTTGTTTTACACTGAATATATTTTTTCACTAGATCTAATTAATGTTCTCAAAACATGCGTTCAATAATTAACTTAATGTCGCCAGCAGAAGTAGAAAAAAGGACGGACTTGCTTTTAAAAGAGATTTAGCTCCAGCTATGAACTTTTTAAAAATCTGTAGAAACCATTGCCTGGGATTTTTTTTTAAATATTGGGCTAGTATTTATTAAAGAATTTTCTGTAAAAAAATTTCTAGAATAATATAGAACCTATGTCCTATGTACAAATGTTTGAAAAAAAATACTCATCGGTTAAGACGAATTGATATAGATCTAAGTCATTGTGAAAAAGTAGGAGAATCTAGATCTAGGTGTTCGATAGTTCAGTAGCCTAGATATTTGATAATAAGTTGCGCAT